AAATCTATTTGAGATTGTGGATCAGAGAGGTAAATAGCTGCTATATCCAAGCTTAACAGTTTTCCTGTAATTTCAAATAACTCCATCCCAGAATATCCAAGCTTTGGCTTCATGGATTTCTTTTACTTTGGGCAAGTTTTGGAATTGTTGAGGATTAACAAAACCAAATGAATGCACACTGACCATTTCCAAAGGCTTTGTCTGAAATGGGCAGATGGAATGTCTCCAGCACACGTATGTCACCTGGTGCTGGAATATGACGTGGAGACAATGAGTGGCACACAGATATAATAGGGACTGAGGAGATTCTGGTATCTATTGGCTGAAAGGTGTTGGGTACATGGATTCAGAACACCAGCTCTTTGCTTTTGCATGCACTGAAACTCTACAATTCCAACAAAGCAAAAGGGTCTTGAGACAAATTCTAAGCTCTTCTCTAGCGTCTTTTTAGTGTGTATCAAGTCAGTCATATTGGTTTTACCTCACTTAACTGTTAATAACTTTCTTCCTTGCAAGAGATTTCACTTTCTATTTAAAAAGATGCAACAGTATTGATACATATAACACTGTATAATTACACATATGCATACACTGTCACTTTTTTTCTAACAGAATTTGTATCTTTAGCAAGGAGCCCCTCCTTCATCAGTCTCCCTCCCATGATTTTATTCTCAGCAATGGGAAGGAAGTATGGAGTGACTTTGGTAATTCATTAGTTAATTCTACAGAACACATTTTACACACCACAGTATGAACAGATAGGAATTTAACTCACTGAAAGAGTTTTTACACCATCAAATCTCCCAGAACTTAAGAATATAACATATTGTCAAACTAACATGAAATTCTCAATTTTCCTGCCTGAGTGCAGGGATCACACTGCATGCAACCATGTGTGGCCCCTCAACAACCTTTGACTATGCTCAAAAGCATGCCGACTAGGATTTGAAAAAAAAATGAGCACCCAATGTACATTTGCATTAAATGCGCCATGCCAACATTTTCTATCCCAAAAGCAATAGTAGGTGGTACCACAACCACTTTCATTAAGTGATTCAGGGAGGTTCAAATCCCAGTGGTAAGTGGGTGACGGTTCAGAACTTTGCGACCAAATGTGTGTTATTACATACCTAGGTTGATATACATATGGTTTCCAGAGGTCTTTTGTTGTTTGGGACAAACAAAATTTTGTATTTGATACAGGGTCTCCTTACACGGCCCTGGCTGGTTAGGAACTGGCCTCAAAGTTAGATTGCCCGCCTTTGCTTCCCCAAGTGCTGGAATAAAGGTTACCACCACCACATCCAGGTCCAAAGGACTTATAAAAATAAGACAAGGTTCAGGAACACTCTACTTATTCGACTTGAGGTGCGAGCTTTTGTGGGTGGCCAATGCCTACAGCAAGAGTATGTATGTTGAGTGGCAGCCTGAAGTGAATCTACTTTCTTCCATTGGACTCCCCTCCACCTTACATCCTCCGCATTAGGGAGAGCAAGCTCTACTCAGACAATGGTCAGTCTCAGGTAAACACAGTGTAAAGGGAAACCATTGACCAATGTTCTGAAATAGTTGAAGAATTCTTTATTATTTTCTCTCCTGTATTTAGCGGACATGATACACTGAAGGCACATACTCTATGGCTGGTAGCTGACAGAAAGAAAATGTATTTGAATAATAATATCTTTAAAATATTTCAAATTTTTATTAAATATTTTTATTCAGTTTTAAGATCACAGTTAAAGTACTTTAGCATGTTATACACATGACTTACATGTGCAATTTTTAGAAATATCAAATTAGGTATAAGATTTTGAAGAAATTATATAAATGTATATATTGACTTTTTACTACACATACATCTAAGAAAGCAATAATTCCGTTGTACCATTAACTGGAAATCATTTATTACATGGCATGTTTACACCAACTCTAAAGAGAACAAAGCCAATTTCCAAAGCAAATTAAAATAAAACAAAAACTGAAATAAAATGAAAAAATCAGTCATGCTAAAACTGTCAACAGACTTAAGACCTGGGGTCAAACGAAGCCATGGTTAATTTATGACATGTAAGTAAGCAATTCAAACCTATGAGAACCAGTTTATAACCTGGTGTGTGGAATCTCAGGAGGTTTTAATCAACCCTTTGACAAATTCCTGAGAGCCAGAGGCTTGCTTAGTGCTAATGACATGAAAATGTGGCTGAGCAATCACTAAGCTCAAGGTCCCCAGCCTTCCCTCCCGACCCTAGGTTCTGCTGCTCCAAGAGCCGAGGCACTAAACGTGAGGAGTCAGGAGACAAGAGCAAACCTTCTGGTGAGCAACAGAGAAGTCAGTGACATTCCATGGAACATGAGTGTCTCTATGATTTAGGTTAGAGCTTGTGAGGTAAGATTCGTGTTGTGGGTGGGTTTGGAGGCATTCTATCAGATCCTTGTTACTCAGTCACCAGTTCTGGCCCAAGTTATCAGAAAATCTTTGGAAGTAGTAGTAATGTTCACAAACATGAATTCTGTGCATGAAATCAATGTGAAGGCATGATCAGCTTGACCACTGTCTGCCATAAAAAAAAAATCAAACACAAAAGAAAAAAAACAAAAACAAAACAAAACAGTGGCCACAGAACTTTTAACTATAAAGTTCCTCCTGTGACTTTATCAGTAAAAATCACACCACCACAGATAAAATTTGGTCAAAAGAGGACACTTTCCTTCCCTCATAATGTATATTTCTATATTTGAAGGAAAGGGCAGCACAGATAGGTGCAGATATACAAAGAAGTCAAACGTATGTCATTTACTTCTGTTGCTTCTTTGTTCTGAAATGTCAGAAGGTAATAACGTCCCCACTGAAAAGGACAGTCCTTCAGCATGGAGTATAACGAACGTAGCTATCACTTCCAAACATAAGTAAAGTAGTCCATCAAACCCTGACGCTTCCCCAGATCCATGGTTCCATGAACCACACAGCTGCTTCTGTTCTCATTTTACACATGTTGTTAGTTAATCTAGGTAAGACTTTAACAATCCCCAAACTCAAATAAAACCAAGTCCAGCCTAACTCTTTGGGAATGCCTGTATAAACAGAAACAACATCTAATTAGCAAATAGTACACTTTGCATAAAGTGCAAAACAAGGACGTGTGGGGAGAAGCTAAGTTCAGTTTCCACCTAGCAGTCACTCCAAACACTTAACAGGTCAAAAGCGATAAGCACTCGCTCCTACTGCTCATTTCAGCACGACGTTGTTCTCTCTGGAGAAGCCAGTGTGTGAAGACAAAACACTGCAGTGGAAAATTCTGGCACTGAAGGTAGAAGCGAAAGACAGACTTACTGAAATTAACTTTGGAAGCCGAGGTAGCCCATGAGGATTGGCCTATCTGAGGGCTCTGGGGAGCAGTGCAATCAAAGGTGAATCTCAACAGCATCATGTACACCCCAACATCTCCCTTACAAGCGGTGACTCCAGGCCTCCCCTGATTTCCTTCCTCTCCCCCGAGGAACCAGCAGTGGTGCTTCTCCTCTGCTGAATGGATGCTGTGCTCCAGCCTCCAGCTGCTGGTCTTCAGAACACTTATGACGCATACAGTAGTTTAGCAGGCAGCATGGTCCCACTGCTTCACATTAACATCAAATGCCAAGCTTGGAACAGAGTTATGTAGTATTCCCCACCCCACCCTATACACAAAACACGTCATTCAGTTCTCAGCTAAGGTCTGTTCCATAGCAATTTACAATTTGAGATTTTACATCGGTGCAAACACTTCCGTACACTGAGTCAAAGACTGCAGAGTGCAAACACATTTTTTATGACTTAGCAAAGCATCTTGACTTTAAGAAAACAATAGGAAATCAACACGTCGGACTCCAACCGCCAGACGGGTTCAGACGCTCCTCTGCACATACAGTGTTGCCAACATTTTTCTCTAGTAACTGTAAAGGCAGGAAGTAAGGTCATAATGATACTATAGGAATTCTTTCAGCATGGTTTATGGGCCACATCTGATAAAATTAAGTAATTTCTGACACTTGTGGGGGAAAGGCTGCCAGAATGACAGGATCACTCAGGAGGGGGTTGAATGAATTAAGAGTTTTGATCCACCATTTGAGACTAACCTAATCTGGGGACAGGATCCTGTGGTTTCCAATGTGGCCATGGGACGTTTTTTCCTTTTCCTGATCTCATTTACAGTACCCAAACAAACAAAACTTCAAGGATGTCTTACAGTATTTTCTCTTTCACTCATCTTAAGAGCTGCAGTTTTAGTTACTATAACATACTCTGGACACTTCAAATTTACATTGGAAATACCAGAATAACTAAAATAAATAAAAGGCTAAAGAACACTGGAAGAGTTCTATGTCTGCACCTGAGACAGAACCTCCGGCTCCAGCCCTGCAGAGAAGGGCAAGGACAACTTTCAAAACAAGATTTATATACAGGTTTGAATCCAGAAATTAAGGTTAAAAGCATAAATACTGACAACTTCAACTAAATGCAAAGTGGTTTCAGAAAGATATGCTACAACAATTTGGAATATAACAAAGCAGAAGAACATTGTATTTTGGTTTGCTTGAGATATACATAAGGTGCAATGACTTGTTTTCTTGAGGATGCTATGAGACAAACGTTAGTGTGGCTGGTGCTTGCTGCCAGATTACACGTAGGCATCAGAGCAACACAGCAATGCCAGTTTCCAGAAGGAGAGGAGCAACATGAAGACGACAACGCTAATGCAGTAGAGTACGACGTAATGGGCTGAAGGGTTTGTGCTAACAAATGTTACCTGAAAAAACCAACACCCCTCTCCAGCAGATGGGGCATAAGAAGCACAGCTACTGAAATCAAGACCTCGCTCAGAGAACTATAAAGCTTTGCAGGATTTCTGCTACTCTCAGTGCCTAACCGCTTAAAAATTAAGCATTTCTACAAAAAGGTTTGTTTTTAAAGTATCTGAAAACAGCCGTATCCAGGAAGTCCCTCCCATCCCCACCCTGCCTAAGGGAAAAGCCGATCAGGTAAGATATTAACCACGTAGAAAAAGGTCATCTCTTGTTTCTTTTTTAAAAAAAGTTCTCAGGAATATACAGCAATCTCTGAAGGGACTCTAGTGAAATGTACTCGGAGGACTGAAGGAGGGTGCTCTGGCAAAAATAGATCTATTCTAATGTACTCTAGAGAACAACAAGTTAGTACCATTGTCAAGATGCATGTTCTGCACCAATGCAATTGTTGGTTTTCTACTTTTGTTACTAATTTTTTGGGTTTTAGCTAATTATCATGTTTAAATCACTGCTAGCAAGTGGTCCAAAACTCCAACAGCCACCAACATCAGGACCCAGCAATTTCCAAACATTCACTTATTTTTGTTTTGAAATTTAGAAAATATTATTAAAACAGTTATCATAGTAAAAATAGTATGCTAAAATCTGGGGCTATTCACTCAATTTATTTCTATGTGAATGGGATTAAGCTATACCTACTGATTTACCTTTTACTAATTCCTGCTTCCTACATCCCCACAATGAACATGAATTTTTGAGGACACAATTTTAATACTCTGCTGCCCTCCCTACCTGCTTTGGAAAAATAACAACAAACAAACCTCTATCTTTTTCAATTCTGTTAATATAGTTGTACATATTTTCCAGCACCGGAACTGAAGGAATATCTACAACCATGAGAAGCTAGACCTAGACAGTATTAATAGAGTCATTTTATATGGCTATTAGGTCAAATTACAATTAGAAAAAAAATCGTTACACTTCAGTCAAGTATAAATAAGAAAGCTAGATAAAACCATGTAAACTGTCACCATTTAGAGATCTAATTCAAAAGCTTCAAATTCCAGCTAGCACTATCAAAACTCCACCAGTTTGAAAACTATTAAAAATTATTGCTGGGATCCAAAAATTAAAATTTGGTAGTTTGTGCTGTGTTGCAACAGTGGGGAAATACTTTGTGCTATGGAACAAATACCCTGTAAAATCTGTAGCCTCAGATTAATTTTGATGTATCACTTTGCATCTGTTGCTAGGAAACAAGACACTGTGAACGTCAGGTGGTTAAGTCAATATGTTGAATGTTGTAGGCCAGTTAATCCACTTGGCACTGGCATATGGTTGGTTTTATGCTTAAAAGCAACAAAACATGAAAAGGAAACAGAAACCTGTAGGTGGATCTGACTGAGAGGCGCACTTCAGACACCTCCCCACTCGTTTACTCAATACCTCCTCAACAACACCAACTCCAAATGGCTCCTAAACCTGCAGTGCCTAGTAGGCCGTGCATAGCAATCGCAACCCGTCCAGTCTGTCTGTGATGGATGTAAAAGGTCTGAAGCTCCAAGTCCATATGAAGTGAGCATCTTCAGTGTGTTTAGAATAATGAAGTAATACTAAGGTCACTTCTGAATAATAGTTTTGTCTTTTTTTGTTTGTATGAACGATCCATTGGTCACTTAGACCCCTGTGTAAAAATAAAAGAATCCTCAAGGCATGAAAACATCAGTAATCTGTAATCTGCAGGATGCTTCCCCTGTCTGGGAAAATATTTGCCACAATTTGCCCCAAGCAAATTCTTCTTGGTCACTCAAGGCTAAGAAAAAAATTCAGATTGTAAGAATTGTAATAGTCTCTTTCTCGATCTCAAAATCAATCTCTCTCCTCTCTCTCTCTCTCTCTCTCTCTTTCTCTTCCAGCAAACTACCACTACCATTCTGGTGGCAAATATAAAAGTGCAGAATATATGGACCACAAGGCCGAGCATACACCGCTAACAATGGTACGTCTGCCTGCCCATGCTGCTTAGGAGTCTCTGGTACAGGCATTTTAATATTTATTCTACAATATAAATGTAGGTATAACCTATTATATAAACCATCTTAGAACTTAAATCTTCATGTACAAAAGACTAAGAATATCTAATAATAACTAGTGCAGTGCGTCAGGGTTTTTTTGTTTGTTTTGAAAGAATAACTAGGTAATATATGAAACTAGTTTCACACTCTCTGGTTGGTAAAAGAGATGCTGGATGAGCTACAGTAAAGGCAGCCTTTTACCAAGTTACCACTGGTCACCGTCAAAAGCCTTCCTTCCATGCAAAGCAAAGGTCCACATCCCTTTGCTTTTGCTCAGTATCACACAGTAACACTGCCCTCAGAACTCGTGGCTTCTGAAACAACAAATGGGCCCAGAATGCTAAGTTTTGCTTCAAGTGATTCTGGGCTGTGTGGGACAACAAGCACTTGTCTGCAGTCTGTACTTCCCACCACATGGACTTGCCAGCATCCCTGGTAAAGACAAGGCTAGGGTAGTAGGTAAAGCACAATGTTTTACAATTAAAGGGCGCTTCACTGGTCAGCACAAGAAATCAGTACAGGAGCCTGTGGCATTTCTTTTGGCTGTCCATCATGGGTGAGTGAAGTTGACCTCTGACCTCTGTAAAACAAAAGGGGGAAAAGTCACTTATTGAGGGTATATAATCTGAGATAAGCAAGGACAATGGGCGATAAGAACGTTCCACTGTCTTCCTCGACAGTAATTAATTGCTACTTAGTCATTTCATTAAATCCAGTTTTGTCTTCCCTTTCTTTTCTGAAGAGTTATTCATCACGTACCCTACCCAATAATCCCTAACAATATATTGTCTTGTTACCATCCAAAGCTAAGGCCTTCCACTCTGTAGAGATAAAAACCTGAAAGACCCACAAAGCTGAGCAACTTCTCAGGACATGGAAAACTTTCAGCCAAGAGTGAAGCTCTATGAGAACACCTTTATCTTAATGCAGGGGGATTTTAAACGGCACTTTCCTGTGCTCAATTTGCCCAACAAGGAAACTCTCCTATCTTGATTCGTAATCTCCGGAAAGGAGAATCCACCTAAGGTGGCACACAAGGAATAAAACCAACGTTTTGTTTTCAAAATACATCAGGAGACAAAACATCAGCAGGTATAATTACAGCCAGATGTGCAGTTGGTCTCAGGAAGGTATGTACACAGTTGCATGAGGCATGCAAGCTGCAGCAGCAGAGTGTCTGAGAGAGGGGACTAACCACAGGGGCTAGAAGGAGGAACAGCAATTCCCGCATCTGCTTACAAAGGCAGGTATGGCCTAAGTGGGAGGGGACAGCACTTCCCTGAGTGCAAAGCAAGGCTGTGGAGGGCGGGTGCAGGTTTGCTGAGAGTGGAAAGGCTTGCCTGAATGTTCTGCTGTTGCCAAGGGTGAGTCACAGAAGGCTAACGGAGTGGACAAGGATGCAACCACAGCTCTGTATAGAGGAGAATGCTTGCAGCAGTAAGCTGACTGTGGTCCTTGCCGAGCCCTTCATTATGATTCTCACTGAGGCGCAAGTGGAGAAGCATCATCTTGCTCACAGGCTTAGCAGATCTCCCAGCAAATGTCTGCCAGCCCTCACTCCCCAGTGGGAAGCTGCAGTGCACAAGAGAACAGGAATGTGACTTCCTGGAGACATCTGGAGGCTGGGTGAGGGAGTGCCAGAATTGACAGCTAAAGGGCCAGGAGACAGAGCTGCCACTAGGGCCTTCAGGTGTCTAGAGGTTAGAGGGGCATGAAGCTCTAGCACACTGTACATCCGTTGGGCTTTCAAAGCTTTTGTACTTGACTGAACATCTCATAAATAAAGTTACTTTTCAGTGAGTAATCCACTTTGAATAAAAAAATAAATAAAACACCCAGGTTTAAAAAAGCCCGTCTTTCTTTCCCAAAGGATCCATTAAGTAGCAGAAGATTCAACTATAATAACGTGCTCTCTATGAAACTTCACTGAGTTCAAGGAGTTCTCATGCCCGTGATCCGGTCAGATCCTTACAGCTTAATTCTTTGGGGATGTCATTACATTCAATATAAAGTGAAGAAACTGAGGAGCAGACCATCTAGAGTTGAAGAAATTAATGGGCTTCTGTCTATCATGAGGTAGATGTCAAGATGGTCCTTACTGTGCACCCACAGGATTTTGACAGGGGATATTGTCATGGCTACCAACATCCTTAGCACTGAGACATCAAGTCATCCACGTAACATCTCCATGAGATGTGCGCCATTGCGGTGGTTTAAATGAAGAATGTTCCCCCAGGCTTATACATTTGAGTACCTGGTCCCTAGTGAATGGTGTTCGGGGAGGTTGTGGAATCTTAGAGAGATGAAGCCTGGCTAGAAGAAGTATATGACATGGGGAGGGCTTTCAGAGTGTTTATGGTTGCTCCCTAATTTCTATTTCCTCTCCCACTGTCAGTTACTTGCTCCTGTCATCATGCCTGCTGCTTGTTGCCATGACTCCCACCATAATGGATTCTTATCCCTCTTGAACTGTATGCCCAAGTAAATGCTTCTTTCTAGAGCCCAACTTCTAGAAGTTGCTTTGGTCATGGAGTCTTATCATAGCATCAGAAAATTAATAAATACAGCCACTCCCAATTTATATAAAACAAATGCTGGGAGTGAAAGAGGGTGATTATGCTCAGGATACTGTATTGTTCTTCCCTCACACCTCTGCTTCAAGATCTGACCCCAGGATGCTTACAGAATAGTGCTTCGCTATTCACAGGAATATCACAGAAATAGTTTAGCATACTACAATATTCAAGATAAAATACTTGGTTGCCATTGACTCTCATGTTTACCATACTGTTAGTTCACACATATACTTTGCAACAATTCACATAAATAACGGTGCCCTTGAACTCATTATGAAAGCCAGAACATTGTGTGTAAAACACCAATCACTTCTGAAATGGCTGGTTGGTTTCAACACGGCTTCCTCCACTCACGCGTCTGACCACTCACCTGTGCACATTCTCCATGGCTGCAACCTCAGCCAGTGCAGCGAGGCTAAAGAATGCAGACACAGCAGGCATTTCTGGAGTACTGCTCCGTGGCTCCTCAACCGTATTGTGTGAGCAATCATCACTGCAGTATGTCTCAGTCACTTTAGGGAGACTCCTGTGTAGTTGCTCCTTTGGTTTGTCATCTGAAACAAAAGAGAAATCCATCACAGGTGGATGACTCAGAGAAGAGTACTGAGGAAGCACTGGGACAGACAGTGTGGGGAGCTATCATTCCTGTCCACGTCTGCTACCTTCTTCTGAGTAGCAAAGCTCATCCAGAGCACCTTCCTCTAAGGTAATAAAGCACTTTCATTAAGCTCAGTGCCAACTTCCAACTGTGGACTCTGCCCAAAAGCCGACAAATGAAAAGGTCTGTTTTATTCAGAGTCAAAGAATGGTTCAGTGTTGGGGTCAGAAGAAAAAAGTGAACTGTGACCAAAACAAAACCCAAGAGACTTCTGTGATGGATATGCACCTCTCAAGAAGCCATAGCATAGAACAGCATGACAATGGTAATGTGGACTTGGGGTTTAATGTAATTCTAACAGGTAGAATAGACTAAACAACAGGTAATCAGTCCTGCTGAGCTCCCATATTGTGACTTTGTTCAAAAGACATAAGGGAACAAAGACAAAAGACTTTTTAGTACCTATAAAAATACAAAAGAACACTTTCTTCATTATGCAAACATCGTAGGAGAGACAGAATTTTTAATAATATTTAAATACAGAAAACAACTGATAAAAGATATGACTGTCATAATTAGGACATAAAACTGGCATGTTGTTTTCCTATGTAAAAAGGGAGTATCTCCTAAAATTTCTTTTTTCCTAAATATGAGAATGAATGAGGACATAAATGAACAAGGACATAACAATCTATAAAATGAAAGTTATACATGAAAAGTAGAAAGACTATTTGAGAAAAGGGAATTAGTTAGGGCTTGAGATAAGAGTAATGGGAGCCGAGTGTGATCAAAGCACACTATATACATCAATAAAGAGGTCATTATGGCGCCTACTACTTTATAAAACAAATTTTGAGCTAATCATGAATAAAGAAAAATAAAAATCACAGATCAGAATTTACATTAGAAAGTGAAGAAAGGAAGGACCCGTTGAACCAACACTGATGTTAGTCTTCACTCTGACCTCCCATTCAGACACAGAACTCTCTTCTTCAAAGTCTCACTCTGCTATAAAACTAAAACTAGCAGTTGTAATCTGCTTTATGGGCTTAACAACTATTTAAAAATACAAGATACAAGGAAAGTGCAAAATTAATGATTGCCCTATTGTATATTTCTTTTAATTTATTTATTTTTATTTTATATGCATTGGTGTTTTGCCTACATGTATGTGTGAGGGTGTCAGGTCCTCTGGAACTGGAGTTACAGACAATTGTGAGCCACCATATGGGTGCTGGGAATTGAACCCAGGTCCTCCGGAGGAGCAGTAGGTGCTTTTAACCACTGAGCGATCTCTCCAGCCCTGCCCTCTACTTCGAACTCAGCAAGTAATTCCTATCTGCAAATACTGATCTAACCCAAATCAGATCAAATAGAATGCTAGACCTGCTAGAACTCAACAACAAAGATCACTGTGCCTAGCTAGCATGGCACCTCAAGATTTTCAGGGGATGTTCAGTCACCATCATACCCTTTACCTCAAGCCTTTCAGAAAATTCCACTGGAAACAAGCAGATTACAAGCTAAGACAGGAAGTGGGTAATTTTGCTGTCTATTTAGACCAGAAAACAAGATTTCCAGATACATTCTCGGGCTCCACTAGTGGTCTGAATCAGCCCTACACAAAGTGTTAAATATATTTTCAGGTTCCTTAATTCACTGCTTTGAATATATAATAATCTGGCTTGTAGTGACATGAATAGAACACCATGAAGTTACAGAGACTCATCTAGTAGCTTTCAAAATCTAGGCTCTCCTGGAATTTACTTAAGACTGGTGGAGGGGCGGGCATGCAGAGGAAAAGCAGCCAATACTCCAAAAGATTACCTTTCCTTTCTAGGGAGTCAGACACACACTTGGAGAAACAGCTATGTACGGCTTTAGAGCATGAAATAGAGCATGTGTGGAGGCCAATAAAAACATACAAAATAGATAGGGCTTTCATTGAGAAACGACAATTGGCTGGTTCATAATTACTAGCTGGCCAATGTAGCCATTGTGGACACCGGCTGGTTCTCAGAACCTTGACATAAAGATCTTGATCCTTACCCAAGGTACTTCCTGCTGGTGATACTCGGCCATCTGCAGTCCTGACAAGGTGTGTGATCTTGGTTTTCCTTGCTTTTCTCTTTTGGCTACCCACCAAAGGTTCTTGCATCGCTGCTGGCTCTGGAGTGTTGGGAATGGATAGGGCATTTTTAACCTTATAAGCAGGCTCTGTGGTGTTTCTGTCTTCTGAAAATATGGCTGAAACAGGATAAATGCATAGTTATATACCAAACCACAAAGCATCAGCACCATTCTAGAAAAGACATATTTCTACATACCTGACCCATCTGAATAGAGAATTTACACTCAAGTTTTCAAAACATTGACAGAAAAAAAAAAGAAATGAAACATTACCACAATTTGTTTACTACTTATTTATATATCCCTCAAATCTTCACAGGATTCAGATACATCCCCTCATCCCTTTTATGGTGTGAAGTAATACAGCCAGGATATTATTTCTGACCAACAAGCATTCCACCACTGAGCTACATCCCCAGTTCCTTCTTTCCCTGTCAACTATCTTTGGCAGGCTTAGGTGGGGTAGAGGTGTTAATGTATGCACTTTCACCTGGATCCCAAGAGATCACAAGTCCTGGGTGTGATCAGGGAACCTTTCTGAGCTCCTTTAGGCCAATTCAGTTGGGCAGGGTGCTAGCAGTAGTTTCTTGTCTTCTGAAGACCCAGAGATTAAACATGTGCTTCTTAATGCACATTTACAGCTGGGACATTTACCTTTCAGAAGCAGTCTGGCCTGAGCAGAAAAGAAAACTGTGAGGCTTAAACTTCTCTCATGCATACTGACTTCTCACTGTGGATAGGGCAGACATTGGTAGAGTCAGCAGGCAAATAAAATCCTAACTCTGCACGTACTGGCTTTGTGGGAGCCTAGGCAGTTTGAATGCTCACCTTACGAGACCTGGATAGAGGTGGGCAGTCCTTGGGCTTCCCACAGGTCAGGGAACCCTGATTGCTCTTCGAGCAGATGAGGGGGGGGGGGGGGGGACTTGATCGGGGGAGGGGTAGGGAAATGGGAAGCGGTTGTGGGGACGAGGCAGAAATCCTTAATAAATAAATAAATAAAAAAAAAAAAATAAAAACTGGAATAAGATAAAAAAAAAATCCTAACTCTAGGGCAGAGTGAACACGCTTAATGACATAATTGAATAAAGCACCGTTCATGGGGAGGCTACATTTTAGCGCTGTAATTGCAAAACCAATAAATCATTTAATAACACAGGACTGAAATTTCAGTGACTCTCGCATCGAGAGTAAGGATGGTGCATGCCATTAAAGTGTTCTTTAGTTTTGATTACATGGGAATACTTGTCTTAACACACTTACTTCCTTAGGCATTCCTCCTTCCCATCCCCTTATTTTGAAATAAAAAAGGAACATGTAGTTATTTGTGTGGTAAACATTAAAAGGTAAATAAACACACTATCAGATGGGTCAGCTCTTAAGCTCAGTGGCTGTTCTTCTTGAGGACCCAGCCTTGGTTCCCAACAACCATGTGGCAGATGACAGCCCTCAGTAACTCCAGTTTCAGGGAATTCAGTACTGTCTTTGGGTCTTGATGACTACTAGGCAAACTTGATACACAGGTAAAACACCAATACATGGACGTAAAGGGCCCATGCATATAGCTAAATTGATTAAAAAAATAAAAGCAATCAAGTTTTATAATTTGGACCTTTTTTTTTTTTTATGCCAGTGGCTGGCCTGAAAGTTTTTGGACAGAAAAAAAGTTAAACATTTTTTTTCTATCCATTTTAATGGCCATCCAGTTTCTAAAGACAGGCAAAGAAATCATTTCTGCCAAAGGAAAGAGAAGGTCAGGAAATCACAATTTGACATGACAAAGTCTAAGAAAACCAAACAAAGAGTATAAATTGGAAGATGAATCTGAGGTAGGCACTGACTCTATTAAACTATGGTAGTACAGGTCTTTAATCTTAGCACTCGGGAGGCAGAAGCAGGCGATCTCTGGGTTTGAAGCCAAACTGGTCTACAGAGTGGGTTCTAGGACAGCCAGGGCTATACTGAGAAACCCTGTCTCGAAAAACCAACCAACCAACCAACCAACCAAACAAACAAACAAACAACTCTAAACATTCTAAACATATAGTATAAGAAGAAAGAGCAAGATAAAGAGGAAAATCCTGAAGAACAGCTTCAGGGGTTAGAAACACTGTTGGTATAAATACTCCTGTGAGTGAAAGTGAAAATTTTAATCTAGATTTTTAGAGATTTTAGATATAGCCTTGTAAAAGGAAGACTACAAATTATTAAGGTATTTTGCTGTGTAAATCATGGTCCCCTGGCTTTATAGATACCTAAAATGAAGAGTGATTCACACTCCAAACACATGGGAAAATCATTCCAATTACATCACAATAGAGGATGAGCTTCTTTTTGCCCCTGTATCAATCAATATCTTAGTATTGCAATACCATGACTGTGTAGGGACAGGCTTAAGGTAGCAATTACCAATTTAACAATACCCCCAAACACCTGCTAAGTAATGCTTCTAAGCACTGTTTCAAGTACAGAACCAACAATCAGGAAAAGCCTTCTTACAATTTTAGACCTAGTCCCAAGTTCAAGGATGGAATAGTTTTGATGGTAGGCACTCAGGCTCAGACTATTGGTACTTCACTTCTTAGCATAAGCCAATGGCAGTATATATTTAACATTTGTAAAAATAAAAGCTCTAATTAAAAAAAAACTACAATTTAGTTAGAAATACCTCAAAGAAGTTTAATTACTATATAGCCTTAAAGCTCAACGCCTCAGACAAGTTTAAAGAAGCCAAACCTCCAAACCTGAATTAAAATGAACATCAAATAATGTCTCTTGCATATTCATAAGCTTCAGCTTCATTGCCTTCTAATCCAGGGGCCTCACCTGTCACTGTAGCTAGGGGGAATTCTGCTCATCCCTCCAATATCGTCACTGCTTTCTTTATTGGTGGACCATCCCAAAAGCACATCAATTTGACTTTTCTACTTCTACTTTAAAAAAAAAAAAATCTAGACCTTGTGGTAAGAAGGGCAAAGCACAGTTGCGAAGGTGAAAGGTGCAAAGTTCACCTTTTCAAAGGGAAAAAGAGTCACAGGCAAGCAGTTCGTGAGCCGTCATCTGACTTCCACAGACTATAGTCACAGGCACCAGGATTTCTCTTGAACTAGAGTTCACTAACTGTGGGAGGGACCATGATCTTTCCATGTAAGGATGTGAATTGGGACAGATTAGCTCTAAAGAAGACACTCTGACCTAAAAGGATAGTTTTGCCACAATCTATAATAAGGTAAGGGTTATGTCAGGGAAAAATAAACCTCTTAGTCAGCTCTAGGGTCTCAAGTGGGAAGGACACTTATGGATTAGCACTGTTTTCGTTGATTGTCACTGATGAGCCTTGAAGTAATTACATCCTACTAAGTAGCTGCTGTTTTTAAAGTCTCTTTCACATGACCTGGTAGAGACAGGTTGAAGACCAAAGGCATGGCTGCTAAAGGACCGGGTATGGGAGGAGAATTCAGTCCACAGGAAGACAGGAGGAGGAAGGCAAAGAAAGGGCATCAGCAACACTCGATTGTAGAAGTCAGCCTAGTAGGGGAAGGTAAAGAAATAACAAGTTACAGACTAGGTGAACGAGAAGTCTGTGTCAGTGCCCCAGAGGGAAGCTACAGTGCTTACCCAGAAGGGGTTTCATCTAAACCTATTACCAGATCTAAAAGGAATCATGAGCTCTGTGGATCATTCTCACTTGACAAAGGTATGGAATTAAGACCGTGTTGGGGCTTTAGAGTCAGAGCTAAGGGTTTTGCCTCATTCTTTGACCCGGGATTAAATCCAGAAAATTCAGCCATGTACATGGCCCAGGCAAAGGTCAGCCCTCGGGGAGAGTCTCCTAAGACAGAAGAATGGATGAAGCAAAGGGCGAGTCAACAAATAGTGCCTATGACAAAACGGTATTCAGCCACACCAACCCACAGCAAAACAAGTGAGAGGTAGAGCATGTGGGGCACAAAATAAAACAGCTCAGGGAGAAAAATCAAGCCCCTCTTCCCCCACTCAAGCAAACGGAAATTTGAGAAAAGGAAGGCTTTGACATCCAAAAGCATATTAGTCATTTCTCTTTGGGCTTTTAATTGAGCACACAAAATGACTCAAGCACACTGGAACAAGTCCACAGGGCTGGTTTCCACACTCGACAATAACCATGGCACACGTGGAGTGCATCATCTGAGGGCGATAATGCCAGCTCACTCCTGGAGCCACATTAGGATGCTGGCAGTAAGAGACTGCTTTGTTTCCCAAACGACTCCCCAAATGTGGAGAGTATTCTTTGGGAAAACAGTGCTGCACTTGCACTGCACCCCAGGAGGCTGTTAGAATCAGGAATTTACATTGCAACTGGGAGAGTCAAGGTTGCATTGAAATCATTATGGCTCTATCTGAAATCTCATTGCCTTTGGTTGGTCTCCCATGAACTAAAACAAGTCAGATGCTGAATGAACTAAAGAAAAGAGAATGGAATGAAGGAGCCAGAGCTGGGAGATCTATGGTCTTGGGAGACTTTGCTGGAGTTATAGAGTAACAGTTCCAAACTTAGGAAAAGAGATCAAGTTAGGCTGGGTGACTAGATCATGTCTAAAGTTGTATGTGTACAAATAGGCCACCCCTCTGGCTCCTGTAACTGTATTACACACTGCAAAAAACCTACTCTGACGGAGATTTTGCAGTGTAGCCCTGGCAACTTGGTACTTATTATATAGTCCAAGCTGCCCTAAAGTTCAAGGCAATCCTCCTGCCTTAGTCTCCTGAATGCTGGGATTACAGTGGATCAAATGAGGGCTAAACGTTGAGAGATTTGTCTGAGAAAATGGAACAGTAATGGCCAAAGTGCTTAAGCAGAGAGAATCCTGGTTTCTTTCCTCTTTAAGATTTGTTTTTTTTTCAATTTTGTATCGAGGTTGCTACCAACATTAATAATAATAATGAAAAAAAAAGCCCTCTAGGAGTCACTGAGTATTAACTAGCATCATGCCATCGTTGTGGAATTAGACAGCTTTATTCACCATATGCCATGGGGGCAACGGTCTTCTAAGTTGACCAGAAAAACCTTGCCAGCTCTAGGCCATGGACATCCTCTCCTCCGCTCTTTTTGATATATGCTAAAAGTACCCTGTACTATGGTTTCATCCATGTCTTTCTGTATTTACATCCTGCAAAGCAAAGTTTAAGAAGCAATTGTATGGCCATAGGTGTAAGAATGGCTAAGGGCCTGGATAGCTCACAAAATTCCCTCCTGAACAAGCAAGTATTAGGGCTGGCATGAAAATAAATAAAAAAACAAGTCCATTTGAATTACTAGCGATTTTCCGATGCTGAAATTGATTTCTATTTTTCTGGCCATGTAAAATGGATTGGGACTCTATTATAAGTAAAAGATAGACACCTTTCAGAGCATGGTCTCCAAAGTTCTGTTTACTATACATCAATACTATATAAGTAATTAAGTGTCATCAACAACAACTCTACTTCTACTAGACTGGGGACTGCATAATATACTTAAAACTGCCTGCCTTTTCTACCTCCACACAAGACACAACACCAGAGATGCTGGTGTGTCACTTCCTACCACAGCACCCGTAAGACACCAGAAGAGAGTCACCATGTGTTAACAGGGACATGGTCTGTGAGTTCAAGGCTAGCCTGGTCTACAGAGTGAGTTTTAGGGCAGACAAAGCTAAACAGAGAGACCTGTCTTGAAAAACAAAAACAAAAAAAAGAGAGAGAGAAACATGGACCTTAAAGTTTATGTATTGGCATATACATCATTCCAATGCCAAGTACATGAATTACATGAGTTTTGAACAAATATAGAGTAAATTATAACGAGATCAAGCAATTTGTCCTACCAAAAAGTGCTACCTAGTTGCAGGTCTGAGAACACGGGTCTCCTAATTCATGGCAAGTGTGTTTTCCACTTCAATCTATACACGCACTCTGCACTTCTGTAGGGTCAAATCTTACTTAAAACAACATCATTTCGAGTGATGAGTAACATGAGCTCAGACACCTTCAGATTCCTCTGACAGTTCATTAGTGCCTTACCATTATGAAATCTGTGTAGAAGATATTTTTAAAATGCACAAGAAGAGGTGCTTCAGTCAGGAACTATTAAGATTTAATGTTGGAAAAAGTATAATTCATATTTTATTTTGCCTGCACTTAGGCTGAAATAGTATTCCAGTTAAGTTGTGAATGTGAAATAATTCGTCAGCAAGCAGAAACCAGGCTGGAATTTTAGAAAAAGTAACATGACAAAAGCAGACGTGGCTTACTTAATACTGTTCCTATCAAAGCCGTCTGATTACCAAATCAGACTTTAATATTTTGGATAAATATTTTCAAAATGTGTAATTCTGCTAAGCGATTTAGGCCAACTATGAAATTTGTTTGCCTGCCCCCCTCCCGGTATTTATGGAGTTAAGGGATATGGGCGTGGGGGGCTGGTGAGATAGTCAGTGGGTAAGAGCATCTGCTGTGCAGGACAAAGACACGAGGACCCCTGGGACTGCCTGGCTGTCAGCCTAGCTCCATATTCTGTGAGAGACCCTGTCTTGAGGGTGAAGAGTGATGGAGCAGGGCACCTGCATCCTCCGAGAGAGCTCAGCACATGCAGGCATAGGTGGACATGCCCTATCCTCCACAGGTGAACACACACACTACTGGCTGGGGAAGGGGTTGGATTCAATCAAGTACCCATTATAGACTTAGCAAATTTCTGGGTAGCCTAGAACACACTGTAGCCCAGGCTATCCTGTAGTGTGGAGCAGCAGGTGGTGTCCTGCCACCCGGCTAGCTTTACACCTGAAATAATTACCCGAAAACTGTATTCTTTTAAACACTGCTTGGCCCATTAGCTCTAGCCTCTTACTGGCTAACTTTCACATCTTGATTAACCCATATCTAATAATCTGTGTAGCACCACAAGGTGGTTGCTTACCGGTAAGATCTTAACCTGCATCCATCTTGGAGAGGATGCTATGGCGACTGCCTGAAGAGGAGAGGTATGGCGTCTGCCTGACTCGGCTTTCTTTCTCCCAGAATTCTGTTCTGTCTACTCCATCTACCTAATTTTCTGTCCTATCAGGGCCAGGGCAGTTTCTTTATTAATTAACCAATGAAAGCAACAGATAGACAACTGACTCTCCTCCATCACTATCCTTAAACTTGTTGTAATCCTACTTCTGCCTCCTGAGTGTTGGATTACAGAGGCTCACAGCTACACCTGACCCAATTTATTTATTTGTACTAGGTGGTTCACTATGTATTGGCTCAATTTTGTTGATACAAAGAGAATAAAACTTCCAAATAGCTCTTTAGCTGGAATATTTCAAAGATACCACTGACTTCTTGAGTAACTTCCTTTTTATTTTTAGAGACAAGGTCTCATGTAGCCCAACTGAGACTCAAACTCACCGTGCAGCTGAGGGGCACATTTAACTCCCTCCTAAGCTCCACCCCTCAAGTGCAGAGATGCACGAACACACCCAGCTCTAGTGAAGTAACTAATCGCTAAAAACGTTAAGTCTTTAGAAAATATCTATAATGAACATATTGTATGTCTCTGTGCGGGGGAGGATCAGGTGGAGGAAGAGAAGGAAGGCCCTTTAACTCAGAAATTAGCACCTACCCAAGGGTTCAGTTATGCTTGTAATGACAGTTATAGATAAGCGGGGTGTGGGAATTTAAAGGCGACATCTGCACTACGACCTATGACTAGTTTGACTATGCATATGCCTAGGGTGAATTCTGTTTTAACATACTTAGAGGTCCTTGGAAATGGACATGTGAGGGACAACCGTTACCCTGCTGTGCTCAGTTAGTCAGGAGGACCCCCGCTTTTCACTCCTGACTTCAATGCTCCTGCACCATAGATACAAAGGATTAATGTGATTTGAAGGCTACAAATCTCCTTTTATGAAACTAAATGCCACACAACATACTGTCTGATGACTAGCAGCAAAACAGTTTTGATTTAAAATAATAAATAATCTCAATGTGAACACACAAGTCTAACGGTTGGACCGACATAATTTTTGAATTTTTAAAAGACTGTAAAATTATTCCATTTTTAGCTTAGCTCATGTATAATTAAATAACATATTATTTCTTTTACCTTCTGTAGGGTGAATGGCATCCAAGAAGAATTGCTTGTGTGACCATTTATCCCCACTTCCTAAAAGGACAGAAAAGTAAAAATGAAGCTCTACTCCCAGCAGATATACACAGCACTGAACACGGCTGTGTGCACAGTGCCTTGAGCACGAAACAACATGCACATCAAACAGAATCTAACTTCAATTATTTTATTCTCAAAACTACTTGCCAAATAAACAAATGAGACTACATAAGATATGGATAAAAATAAGCAAATTCTGTCCTTTGTGAAATACGTTAGACAATATCTTGACTTTAATCAACACAATCTCAAGATCTGTAAAATGAAATAACAAACGCTGACATTTTACCTATATTATGTTTACTCACTAGAAGCAGAAGAAAGCAGATCATCAATATGTAATGGCAGAAGTTGATGTGGAGATGAAACCGAAATAAGTAAAGGCTGCAGGTACAGGAACATACAGACACATACATCCATACACAGTGCGCGGAAGCCGCAGTAAGAAGCCTAACATGCTGCACACACGGCCATGCAATAGGGTGCAACTAAGCCTCGGGTGAGCAGGTTTGTGGTAGCTGTGACATTGACATGCAGGACACTGAGGAGAGCCCACCTCCGAGGTCACACAGCTGTAATGAGTCGGATGTGAGGACTTATCTTTTATGTGTAAGAAAGAAAGTCTTGAGTTATGAGAACAGAAATCTTAAGATGAACCCCGAAGAGGTCAAGGGTCCATCAAGCCCACAACAGCAATGGATGTTCAGAGAAGGGCGAGGTGACAGAGTGCCCAAGTTTCTAATGCCCTCTGGAAATAGCAGTTCTGTGGCTGAAGGAGATTGAAAACTCCAGCCAACAACGAAGCATAGATGGGGAAAAGACGTTACAATTTACGAGAATTAAAAAAGGTTGTGAGAATTCTTAATTAACACAGAAAGTATAGAAATGGCTGGACTTTCACAAGACTATAAAACTGTAGGATTTTAAGAAGTAGGAAAATGTGGTCAAGGTATGAAAGCTTGCCAAATGAGAAAAATAAGAATAGCCAAACAAAATAAATGGCTAAGAGACCCAGAAGACTAAATTATAAAATGCACCAAACGTAAACGAGAAAACAGTGATTTTAGGATTCATATGGAACTATGATCAAAGAGACAAGGAATGGACTTGAGCAGGAATCTAAATGATGGAGGTTTGCATAGCTGCGGAGTCTAGAAAAGAAGAAGACGCCAAGTCGAGAGCTGATGGCACTGAAGCAAGCAAAGGGGAGGAAAAGATGTGCGCAGAAGCTTCGCTCAAGGAGGAATCTGGAATGGAGGTGACCAAGAAACCTTAATGGAGGGGGGAAGGCACCAATACCTTTTTCTGGAACATTAGGCTTCTCCTTTTTGTGCTTATATTTGCTGACAATTTTGTGGAATAAGTTCTTTTTCTGGGACTGGAAAGGACCTACAGACAATATTATAAATATATTTTAAGTTCACAATGTTGCACACAACAATATTGTGGGTTTCATTTTGTTGTTTTTAATGATCACTCCCTCCTCCCTTCTATGCAGTCAGTAAACTGAGTTGCAAGCAGTGTTCTCTTGCAGATTCAGTCAGCTAGCAAGTGCTCAGCCCATTCTGTTAGGCTTATTTAAAACTCAGGGAGATTTTCCCTGGAAATGTGTTGGGCAAAAGCCTCCATTAGGGCTGGGACTCCCTGGGAGGATGCTATAGATATAGTGGGTAGAAACAGACTATAATCAGCTAACAGCAGAGAGATGATGGTTTGAAATGGAGAAGGCTTTAACTTTAGATTCCCAAAGGCCACAAGGGAAAGGATGGAATGCGTGTCTCATTCTAAGAAACTGATCTCACAAGAAAAGCACTTTCAGGATAACCATTGACCTGAGAGCATTAGGCAGCTTTCTAGCCCTTTCTTGAGGCTAGGAAGGGAAGAGGGTTGGTGGTGGTGATTTTAAAAACAGAAGTATATTTGCTAAAGAGACATCTCAGAGTTTTAGTCGGTTTGGATAAAATGGAACTGCTGTTTTCCAGTTAAGGATCAGAATTAACAGCATCTTTCCTGAAGCAGGTTGTTTTCTATGCATTGCAGATCTTCATGTCTGAATAATTTTACATGGCTTTTCTTGTCTCATCTGTTAATGGGGATCATCACAGTGCCTAACTCACAGGGTTGGTGTGAGGATCAAAAAGCTCTTAAGTGTTACGGGCTCCCCCTGCTGCATCTCACAGTTATTAGTGTCTATGGCAAGCTCTGCCTTCCGGCTGGTGGCAAACTACCAATGTTTCCATGTGGTCAGTTTTTCTAGACCATCCTCCTCCTTGAGCATCAGTGTACAAACATTATTCCTTCCAATTAAAAAACAAAAGAGGTGTTGGCATTTGCTCAAACTTTTCACATCCGTTAGTGCCTCCTCCCCCAAATCCTCTGTAGCAAAACTGCCCTCAGAGGGGCTGCCTACAACTTTATTTTCCTGTTGTGTGTGAAACCCTTCCCTGACACTCAAGAAAACCTAGTTTCCTCAGGTCACCTACAACCCAAGGCTATGAAAGCCAAATGATGGTTCTCATTGCACAGGGCTGTCCAGTGACACATGACTGCCCACTTGGATTACACCCTTCTACCTCCAGCACTTCTTTCACTGGGTTCCGAGGATCAAGTCTTTTGCTTTGTGTCTTCCCTATTGGAGCCTCTGTTTCCTCTCACTAGGCACCCCAAGTTGGGGACAACACAGATTTGCTGCTTGTCCTCTACTCTCACTTCTTGGGTGATTATTTGTCATCACCAGCCACAGGCTGGTGACTCACAAATGCATCACTCTAGCCAGACTTCTGTGTACTTAGAATGTCAGCAGCCTCACATAACAAACACGGACCTATGAGATGCGGAGAACTGTTTAGTCTGTTACCCCATACCCCTGTTCACCACCCTCTAGCTGCACATGCAGTTTCAATCCTACTTTAAGCATCTTTGTGTCAGCTGTTATGGCTGTTTAAAAACGCTGTCTGTACCCAAACATCAACAAAGTTGGCTTGCTTACTCCTCCAGACTGTCCCATGCAAAGCTGCAGCCCAACTTCATGCCCATCACCTGTGGTCTCACTTTCCCAACAACCCTCTATTTCAGATGATTAAAAAGCAAGCACAAGGAAACAGCTCCATTGAAATATAATTCACGTACCAAATAAATCACTCAATTAAAGCATAGTTCGTATTTTGCCCTCTAGAGATTTATGCACCATCGACCAAGATTTTTATCACCTCAAATATGTCACACCTGCTAGCAACTACCTATCTTATCCTGCATTTCCCCACTCATAAGCCACCTCTGAACTACGTTCTATCTCCAGGGGTTTGCCTATTTAAAAATCTCATATAAACAAACAATATAACAAGTAGTTTTAGCATAGCATTTCTAGGGTTCTTCTGTGCTACAGGAACCATAGATATCACTGTATGGCTATCCCATATTTGATGAGTTTATGGACTGATGAATTTATGGACTGTCTCCACCTTTTGCCTATTATAATACTGTTGGGTATAAACTTAGATGTAGAGGTGTTCTGTGGATGTATGTATGCATTGCTCTCAGGCATAGACCTAGGGGTACAAGTGCTAGGTCACACGGTCAGTGTGCACTATTTACTGTTTGCTGTAAATATTGCACAGGCTTATATTCCTGCTGGCCGTTCACAAGGGTTTCAAACTCTCCACCACCTCTACCAGTTATTGCTTTCAGTCTTCATGGTCATTCAATAGATTTGAAGCGGTATCATTCTCATTGTGATAATGATTTACATTTTACTGAGATTCAGTAGCAAACAACTTTTTTCTTAATAATGATTTGTATATCTCTGAAGAAATACTTACTCTGATCACTTTCCTATTTTTGTTATTTTTATTGTTGAGTTCTAAGAATTTTTTAGAAATAATAAGCCCACTGTCAGTTGTGTAAGTTACAAATCTTTCCTCTCATAGTGTTAAGATATCGTTTCGTTTTTCTTTAAAGCACAAACATTTTAATTTGATACTGTCTAATTTATCTATTTATCTGTGTTATTTTTTGCTACTTGAGCTTTTGATGGCTTATGTAATGATCCTCTGTTCATGTGAAGTCATAAAGACTTAACTACAGTGTTGAACAGACATGTGAGAATGAGGTTGGTCTTGTTTGGATACTTACAGGATAGCATTTACTCTTTCACTGCTAATATAACATAGATGTCACTTATCAGGATTAAGTGAATCTTTCTTCCCCTGCTTTGGTGAATGCCTTTATCATGATGGGATATAAGGTTCTGTCAAAAACTGTTGGTTGAGGACTTGTACGTCCATATTTATGTAATAGGCTGCAATTTTCATGTCTTGTGATGTCTTTGATGTTAGAGTGAGTCATAGGTATTGACATTGCTAAATTTTTATGTTTGTGAAGAATTGGTACTAATTCCTAATTTTATTTTTATGTGTATATGTATGTGCCTGAGTGTATGTATTTGCTCCATATGAATGCAGGCAATTCCTCCTAAATGCCTGGTAGAATCTAGCTGGTGGCACTATCTGGGCCTGGACGCCAAACATCCTGAGCACATTCTGACTGATGGCTAGATTTCTTGACAAGTCACATGTCTGTTCATGTTTTCCTATGAAATATTTATCTTACAAGGTTATTTAATTTACTAGTGTATGACATTCTGTTTTTAGTATTTACATATTTTTTCATTTACGTTCAGTTGATAGTAATGTCCTATTTCATTTCAGATTCTAATAATGTTTTTGGTCACAATCTAGTTAAAAGTTTGTTGCAATTTTCAAGGAACTGGTTTTGTTATTTCTCTGACATTGTTTCTCTATTACTTTTCATGTCAATAATTTTTTAAAATGTTTACTATTTCCTTTTGCTTCCTTTCAATTTGGGTTTGCCTTTCCTTAATCCCAAGGGGAAAGCCTAGTTACAGTACTGATTTCAGATCTTCTTTCAGAGGGGAGTAAATATCTCTTCAGCTCATGCTGCATCCCTCCCATTTTAATGTTCTGTTTGCATTTGCATTCATCTCATCATTTAAGCTTTTTTTCTACTACTGATTTTTAATTTTTTCTACTATGGTCAGAGAAAATACTTTGCTAATTTAATTTTAAATTATCAGTTTGTTTCATGGCCTGTCACACATCTAATTTGGACAGTGTTCTACATACACACTCTGCAAGTGTTGGGTCGTGTCTGTTAGTTCTGGTTGGTTGAACGTTGTTCAAGTGCTCATTTTCCTTGTTGATCATTTGTGTAGTCGTTCTACCAATCTTTTATTTTTCATTGCACTTTTCACCTTCAAACACGTAATATATTTGTTTACCTGGCATTTATTTTCTTATTTGGTCTTTCCAGTATAATAAAACCTCCATAGCAGCAGGTTCTTTGATTTTATTAACAGTTAGAATCAGAATACCTAGAATAGAGTTTACTATAGGACAGAGTCACAAGAAAAGATTCACCTCATAAAGAACAAAGCACTAATTGGCATGAATGTGTGATAAATATATTTTTTAAAATTTAAATGCATTTTTAAAAATTTAAAAAACACTTTAAACATTAAAGCTTATGTTTTAAGTATTTTCATCATTGATATCATCAATCTTTGCAAATGTTATGACCATAAATCATTTCTCTAAAAAACCAATAGCAAAAACTTCTGTATTAGTTGGAGTGGTTTGAAATGAAAATAGAAAATACTTCTATGCTCGCTTTTTTTTTAGAAAAAAAGAAGCACCGAGAAAAAAATAAATTAACAAGCATAAAGTAAACCTGTCATGTGCACATGCGACATGGATATTAGCAATGTTCTCCATAATTTGTTTGCAAGCATTGTTTCCTGGGTTTTCTAAAACCCAGGCACCTGCAGGCTGGAACACCTGAATGACATATAGGAGAAAGCAGAATAAACATTCTGAGACTTCTGGGCTCACAGAGACCCTGCTGACTTACCAGTGATTTAACGTATTGGCTCACATGGAAAGGAATACAAAAACAGACTGATTTGGTTTATAGGATGATTTAGAATAGAAGAAAAGGACTCATATCAAAGAAATCTAAGAAGTGTAAGTTAAGGACAAAGCTAAAGATGAATCTGTTCATATTTACTTACACACACACACACACGCTTGTATATAAAGAGCTTACATAAGCTTACATTAAAACTTCCTTACTCTGAACCATCCCCCAAAGATGACTATAAATACTGTAAAAAAAACGATGGCTTCTTCAAAGACAGTGACAAAAACACGAAGGGAAAGTAATGAGTAAGATCTAATCACAGTCACAGGAAAGCAACGATTTAGGAGTCAATAAACGAACAATTTCATTTCTGCTCACCAGTATGGCACATGTGCTTGACAAGCTGTCTAAACAAAATAAAGTTAAAAAATGATAGAAAATAGAAATACAAGGAA